CCTGCTGATGATTTTTTCTTTTTACAGTTTGTTTAATTATGCACAACCCCCACTCCCTACAAATCATCTTAAGCTACTTCTCACTTCTTTTGCCTACTCTTGTAGCCTAAGTGGTTTGTGTAGGCCAAGACTGTCAGTATGTGGCTGTCAAAATGTGTCATTCAGCCTGTTATGGGAAAAGAAGTTGGTATACTACTTTCATTGAGTTCTGATATACCTTGGGAAAAATAGTGACTCATTAATATCAAAACTTTCACTGACTTTAATAGTCAGGACATGTGGGGTTTTCCTAGATTCCTCTCCACTTCTTGAACTAAATTGTAGGCAGGAGACAAAGAAGAGAAAGCCCAAGGCATGAATAAGTGCTTACTTGTTTCATGTTGGGTATGAGATTTGTGGCAAATGGCTGCTAATTTTGCCTTTGCCTCCTCTGTATTAAAGTAGTCTGTCTTCCTTATATAAATCTAAAAGTGCACACCCAAAAGTCACCTCAACTGTAGATGTTTAACCCATGGCTTTCACACTGTGATCTTGCCCTAAGGCTACTACGGGAAAATTCTTTTCTTCCCTTGCTCATGGCAGTTCAGAGTATGTGCTCTTTATCTTTCTTGCCTCCTGGTGACTCTATGAATCTGTGCTGAAACTTTGTATTTTTTAATGAATTGATAGTAAACTTGCAAGTAGCATCATTTCCATGTTCACTATGTGTATGAACCCCACAGTATCAACCAGAAAACTTACTGTCACAGAGGGGGAAACACTTCCTGCTGGAAGGTCACCGTGAGACAAAATCAGCCATCTGGAGAACACTCATCTCCAGTCAGTCCAGCACAGGCAGGATTACAGTTACTAAGGAAAGAACAGGAAGCAAGGATAAGTTAACTTTGTGAAACAGACAAACTATTTTCTCACTTTCCCATATTTGAGGTTGGTTACTTAAAGCGCATCCTGAATGTTTCGGTGGCTGATGTTTATAGACCTAATGGATCATGCTGTGCTATTAGACTGCTGGTCTCTGAGACCAGCTCAGGGACTTGCATATGTCCTGGTGTTGCAGAACTGAGTTTACTCTTCTGTGGGCAAAATGAACATGTTCAGAGCCAGGCATGTAAGGAGATGGGGTGGGAGGGGTGATGTTGGTGTTTCTTCTGTTTGTTTGTTTTAGGCTTTTCATAAGGTACTTGGTTTTAGTGAGTTCATTTTTTAGGGTCTTTCTTTTCTGTTAATACCCAGGGCAAAGTGAAGCAAGAGCCTTCTGTTGTGATTAATCACAGAAGGTTGTTCTTTCTGTGTAACTGATGGTCAAAGAATCTAAAAAACAGGCATGTCTCCTCCTTGTTTGCATTAGACCCAGAAAACATGTCTTGATAGAAAGCAAGCTCAGTTGATGACAGCCTGTTCTGGCTTATGCTGGCTTATATCATTAGAAGTGGACTCTCCCTACTTAATAAAGCATTTGTTTAACTACAAGTTCTCATAGTCAATTGATACAGTAAAGCCAACTCCAAGTTCCAATATTATGTGACAGTTGACTTGTTAATTGTTGGTTATGAATTTTTGTCCCTAAAAATAGGTTGAATTCCCAAAGCTTTCTTTCCCACGGTCTGAATTTCAGGAAACTGATGTTTATACTGAAACATATATTACTTATTTAGATATGTAGTTCTTCAGTCTTTATTCCTTGTCTTAGTGATGCGTATTGCTTAATGGAACTCCACAGAGCAGCAAAAGATTAGTGCTGCATGGTTTTCTGTTGTTTTGGGAAATTTTTTTTTTTGTTTGTTTCCTTATGTTTTATGACTTTTGTATTCTGCTTTTATCTGTTTCTGGTTGTTATTTTGTTGAAGGGACTTCTGGCTTTCGTTTGTTTAAAACACCTAATTTTCTTATGTCATTGTTTAGGGTAAGCGATGAAAAAGATGCTCGAGGTTATCTTCAGGCCTTGGCCTCTAAAATGACAGAAGAGCTAGAAGCCCTGAGGAACTCCAGTTTGGGTGCAAGAGCTACAGTAAGACTCTACTTCCATATGTCAGAGGCGTTTTTGTTTGAAAAAAGACTAATGTGATAGTTTCAGCTGCAGTAATAATCTGTCTGTAGTGTCTGTGTTCATCAAAAGTTAAACTTTCCTAGAGCTTCCCTTCTAAATAACTGAATGGCAAACTTACTGTTTATCAATTTAATAAACACCAATACCTTTATAATGTGATTTTTTAATGATATTGTTCAAGTAGCTACTTTATAATCACATATGAATTTGTCAAAGGAAATCATACCTTGGTTTGTGAAAGCCTTCAAGTCTTTCACTTTTGAAATATGAATGTCCTTTGTAGGTGTCATTTGAACAGAGATATGTCAAAACTAGAGTTCACAAAATATCTTTGCTTTTGAGATCAGCATAAGATGTTCATCTTGCCTATTTAGTACTCGAGTTCAAAAATAATAATGCTAATAACATTACTCTTAATTTTTAATTTTAGATTACTTTGGAATTAATGAACCCTTACGTTAAGAACATAATAGACCAAGTGATCACTGAAGTGAGTTGCATTCCTCATTTTCAGCTTTCTTATCTCTTACTCCTTCTTCTTCCTTTTTTCTTTACTAGGACATGCCCTGGAAGATGCGCCGCTTTGCAAAACTGGATATGTCTGCAAGGCTGGAGCTACAGTCTGCTCTTGATGCTGAAATCCGAGCCAAACAGGCTATTCAAGATGAGTTGAACAAAGTCAAAGCTTCCTGTATCTCTACAGAGTGGTAAGACTGAATTGTCCTGATGCAAATTTACTTTGATTACCTGCCAGGGAATGTCATCAAATCATGATTTTAACTATCTTGTCTGTTGAAATTTGATAATGAATGATATGCTGGTTTTATATCTCCAAATGTGAAAAAAGACTATCTCTCTTCATTGTGTGAACAGCTAAACACTCACTGGTGAAAACCTTAAATCTTGAAGACATTCAGAAGGGGACATTTTCTCTCTAATAATATAATCTCTCCTTGTTGTGATAACAAATTCAAATTCAAGTAGAGTTTTTTTAGTTCTATTGATAGCTGCATTGGGTTAGCTGGCTAAAATCAATTTTTGCATACTGATTTGTAGAGTAATAAGTAATAACAGTTATGGAATATTTTATTAATTCTTTTATTCCTTCCTCACACCACTCTCTCTCTTCTACCCCATTACCCTCACCCCTCCAACAGAATTTATTCTGAGTTGGATGGATGCCTGAAGCAGGGATTAGTAGGAAGTCATTCCATTTCTAGGTGTCCAGCTTCAATCTAGCTCAGAGCACTGATATTTTATAGCATGTGTTTTAGGAAAGCAGTTGGACAGAGTTGAGATTCAAGTATGTTGTCTGTACAGTGGAAACACCTAGTCCACCTACCTTTCATGTTTTTCAGGACAGATAATGTGATGATAGGTATCACTGGAAATCCTCTAAGTACAGGAGAACCAGCATTTGCTTTGACAGGCAAGGATGTGAATGTTGGTCAAAATACACAGTAGTGTTACCTATCAGCTGTGAATCAGAAATCACTGAAACAACTAACTGCAAAGTAACTGCCAAAACAATAGTTCAACATAATCTATTAGTATCATAGGCACTTAATTAACAAATATATTTTAAAAACCCAAGATGTTTTTAAACAAAGAAATACATGTGGTCTTTTTTTCTCATTCAGAGGATACAGGCTCACACAACTACTTAGAAATTAGAAACACAAGCCTATTTAATGGGTCAGTGGGGATAATTAATTGCCTTTTTCTGAAAACTGAACAGGTCGCAATAGATTTCTGAATTCATTCTGGCATTTGAAGACATTTGCTGGGCATTAATTTTTAAATAGCATGCAAAGATGGACAGAAAAAGGTTACTTGTATCATGGGTTCTCAATACTTACATATGATTTTTATGTTCTTTTGAAGTAAATTGCAAGAATCTGAGAAGAAGAACATGGAGCTGTTGGCAGATATCGAAAGGCTGAAAAAGGAGACAGAAGAGCTTAGATCAGAAAAGGGTATGGCAACTGATATCCAAGTAAATAGTATGTTTCATGCTGGTGGGTACATCTTATCAATGAAGTACAACTTGCACTGGCAACTAGAATATGATACCAGCAGAATTTGGCATACAAAATGTCAGCACAACAGTTGCATGTTAAGATGTACCTACAGCAGTTGCATTTGCACTTCTAATACTTGTAATACGCCTCAGTTTTGTTGATACACTTGAACCTGTAAGGTATTATTTGAGTTGGAACTGCACTGTTTTTATTTGGCACATGTATGGTGATCTACTGCCAGAAAACTGTTAGAAGTTTAGATCTATTTCTAATTTTTCCTCCTTTATCATGGGTGAAGTTATTTAGACTTCAATACTGATGATAATGTTGTTCATCTGTGAGTGTTTTGGGCCTGTCTGCACAGAGAGGAAACGACTGCAGAGGAATTCATAGCATTTGTTTATTTCTGGGAGGACTTTGTTGATAGGTTTTGTGACCACATAGTGAGCAGTGTGGTCGTGATTGCTTTGCCGTGGTATTGAGAGTATGTTCTGGGATTACTGTTGCATCTGTCTAACAGTATTTTGCATTGTTGCTGGGAGAAGAGACTTTTTTGGTAATTCTGCAGTGAAAAAAAAATGCTTTAAGAGATGATTAATGATTTTGCTGATTCGTTGCAGTTTCTCTGGTAGCTCTAATATTTGCATCTTGTGAGTCACATGAGTAGAAGTATTTTTCAGGACAAATAGAATTACCTAATTTTCTGTAGGGAACTATTAGAACTCCAAAATATCATCATCTATATAGTGGCCTCCAAGTGCTGGTTGACTGGTAAAAATAATTCAGACCTATACAGAACACTAAAAAATTACTGGTTCTAATTAGCAAATCAGACTTAAAGAATTGATGCTTGTTCATCTTAATGCTTAGCATTGGTCCCAGAATTATGCTGCTTCCAAGTGCATGGAGGGAAGCTCTCGATAGCATCTCCCTGGAAACAAAAGTACTTTGTCATGTTTAGCTTTCATTTAGATGTTCTTGAACTGTCTTAAGTATTGTGCATGGTTACTTGGCTTCTGAAATCTTCCTTTGCACTGAATAATCTGTTATGAATTTATAATTAATATTTTACTCTGTATTTTTTCCAGTATGTAAAACTTTATTGTTTTGCTGAAAGTAGTGGTAAACATTCTTTTCATAAAACAATCAAAAAAAAAAGATACTGTTCAAGGAAAGTTGGTCATTCTTTTTAACAAGTAAATTAGTAATACTAATGCAATTATTCAAACATTTTGATAGAAATACATCTTAATCCAGATCCTTATCATCTTTTGACTCGGTTTTCTCTTACAAGAAGAAATACATTGCTGTTTGCATTATGAACTGTCTAGAGGATTCAAATGTAGTCAATGTAAGGTGGTAGAGAACCTTACAGTGTGTGGAAATTGATTCCTAGCAAGAGTTTACTTGGATTAGCAATTAAATCTTTTGCTGTTTTACAATATATTCCAGAAATTCAGGCAAGTGGAAAAAGAATTGCTAAAAATGATGCTATAAAGTAGCAGGTGATTTGAAAACTGTTTTTACTATATTACTGGGATTTCAGTGTATTTATAGTTTAAAGAATAAAGGGTTCTTTGTAACTCCTTCATTAACTGTGGGTTATGTTTAGAGCAAACAGGGTGATATGGCTAGTTAGAGCAAGATACTGACATTTTTTAAAAGAAATAAGTAACCTTCAATAGCATCATACACACTCTGGTCATAGTGTATATATATGTGTGCGTATATATATATATATATGTGTGTGTGTATATATATAATGTATTTATAGCATTTGGGAAACTAGAGTTCATATACATCAGTGATCTGTAAACACCCACACAGCAACTTAAATTACACCCCAAAGAAAAAAAAATATCAGTTGAAGCATGTTAAAATAACAGTCAAGATGTGCCAG